ATTGCACCTTCATTTTAATTGATGAGGAGATTAGAACTTAGTAGGGAAAATTACAATTGGGTTTATTCCTTTTTTTTTTTTTTTTTTTTTTTTTTTTTTTTTTTTTTTTTTTTTGTTTTATGGGCTTTTCAAACTGTGGTGGAAACTAGTCAAGAGGCATCTAAACACCCATCACATATTCTTGGGATATCTATCTAAGTCTCACACCAATGGGGCATTATCATTCTATAAATAGTTCAAAGCATGATGATGATACCTGACATAGAACCATGCATGTTGCACAAGTGGCTCACTCTGTGGAGTTCTGTTTATCAAGAGGGGAATTCTTTTCTTTCACCCCCCAAAATGAAGGAATTCGAGTATGGAAAATAAAAATGAAAAAACAAAAAGGGTTAGTGTAATATTGTGGTTTCATGGATCACATAGAGGCAGAGCATCTGCATGGATTGATTTCTGGGCCCTACATGTTGGCCCATCATGCACAGTTCAAATTTACTCTGAGTTCAAAAAAGAGGAGTTTGGTGCGTTTGCAATGCAATTCAAGAATGAGTAGCCCCACTAATTAATATTTCTCTAATAAAATTTTTAAAAAAATTATCTTTTTATAATATAATTTTCATAATATTTAATTTAACCCTCTCATAAGTCATACCCCCACCTAATTTTAATCTCGATTTAATTTATAAAAAAATATATTCCCTTTCTACTATTAATGTCTAATTTTCTTTTAAAAAATATTACAAGTCTATTTACCTTTATTTATCCATTGTTTTCTTCTTCTTCTTCTTCTTCTTCTTCTTCTTCTTCTTCTTCTTCTTCTTCTTCTTCTTCTTCTTCTTCTTCTTCTTCTTCTTCTTCTTCTTCTTTGTTTTTGATTATGTCTATGAAATAAGAACAAAGCCTCCATAACACAAAAACAACTAGCCAGATGCAATTAAAAAAAAAAACCATATACATGAATGTTGGTGCATATATAGGTTCAAGGACGGTCACATATTCACATATGTATATTTACATAAGTAGCATTTGTTGGCTCTGTAAGAGACATTTTTTTTTTTTCAATTCGAACCTTAATTGAAATTTTCAAAGAATTTGATGGAGAAAATTGTATGGTTTATGTACATGAAATTAGTTTAACCAGAAATGTAGGGGTATTTGTTTTTCCTTTGAAAATTACTTCCTAGTTATGTTTACTGTGGGTGTATACACTTTTATTTCATTGAAAAAAATATTATTTCCATTTATAGTTAATGTGGGGTATATTAATAGGTTTTAATGTAATTTTAATAAAGGATAAGATTGTAATAAACATAAATTGTGAATTGGCGGGGTATTAATAAGTTTTTCTTTTTGTTGCAAATATAATTACTCTTCAACAATAAAAAAGAATTTATCTGGTAGACCTCCCTACCGGTAGGGTTTGATTTATAATTGTTAGATTTTATTAAAATCACATTAAATTAAAAAAGTATATAGATCAGACAATTTATGATATAAATTGTTGAAAATAAAATACTACTAGTAGTTTATTTTTCTTAGTTATAGCAAAGAAACTCCCTTAATAAAAAAAAATATAAACAACTCTCAAAAAGATAATAAAGAAAGATTTGAATACGTAAAACAAAAATAAAGATTTAAACATCTTTCAAAAAAATAATAAATAAAGATTTAAATACATCTGGAGCTTTCTCCTACACCAATTATATGGCCTCCCAACTTTATACCTCTGAAAATAGGATATCTTGTTTGCCCATATGATGACCTTGAGTGGGCTACACTAGTCAGTGTTCTGAAATCTTTCTCTCTATCTCAATCTCTCACTCTTTTCTCTCTCTCAGTTTTGTGTGGTGGGGTCTTTTTGTGGAACCCACACTCTTAGTGGGGGCAATTGGTATCACTCCTTTCTAACAAGGACCTTGTCAAGTTGCAAAGCACAGTGTAGAAAAAAAAGAATAGGATCTCTCTAATTGCTTTTCCTCACCCAAAGCATCATAGAATACAATTTTGTTTATGGTTGGTTCATGAAATGACCTCTCACCAAGAACCCATCCCTCCCCTAGTCACTCCTCAAAACTCTTTCTTCTCATTTTCCTTTATTTTTTTCCAAAAAAAAAAAAAAAAAAAAAAGAAAAGGAAAAACCACCTATATATTATAAGCCTCTTCCCACCCATAGAGGAATATATCTACATTTCCTCTTTACAAAGAAGAGAGAAAGAGAGATTAATTGATGGGATTGCACTCAAATATGCTCTTGACTATATCTTTTTATTTTAGCTTTGACCAAACAATAATAAACCCAAGAATTGTTTTTTCAACACGACTTATTTCACTCTTGATTGAGAAAACTTTTGGAGATTAGTACTGTTCAACATTACAAGCTCTTCTTTGGGGAGGGAAAATAAAAATAAAATTTTTTAAAAAATAAGAATAATAAACTAAAATCTTTCGGCTCAGGTGCCAATATGCTGCCAAATAGTTACTTGCTATAAAGCCAAAACCAAGTCCTTACATGAACACGGAAAGAGACAATCAACTAAAAACATAATGGAACTCAAGAAAAGCAAAAAAAAAAAAAAAGATCCCCAAGTTCGAATAACGCAAATTTTGGTACACAGGCGTATGATGGAGAAATTTGCATTTCACTGAAGGGTCTCACATCACCATGTGGGACAATTCTGCTTTAATTTATTACAACAAAAGTTTGCTATAGATATTTGACCATATTACCCATTAATTTTCACATGCAATGAGGAAGTGATATTATGCTGCACTATCTTTTAATTAACCAATATATTGCTACATTTTTCTTGTCTCTTGTGAAATCAAAATGGATGAAAACTGTAAGATCCTCTTAAACAATGATCTAATTAGTTGCATAATGGAAAAAGCAAACTCATATGGAAATCTTCTTGAAACTAAGGCAGAATCTCACTCAAACATTTTTTATTGGTTCAATTAGTTATTTATAGTTATAGCCAATTACTCTATATTTATACCCCGTTTTTTATTGATTCTTTTTTTATTCAAAGCTTGCAACATCAGTTCTCAAGATCTTTGGAGTAAATTTTGTTTGTCCCCTTTCTTGCGTGGGGGGTATCACCTCCGTACCCTTTTCTTCCTCCATTTTATAAAAAGAAAAAGAAAATATTTTTTTTCCTCCTCTTTTATGCTTTCACTATTGAAGATTTGGAATCAAAATCATAAATCTTGTTATTGAGTGTGAGACATAATAAATTCCATGCAGGAACTTACACTTAAGAAAATGGATGCATGACGTCTAATTTACATACGAATTATTCTTCTTAACTTAAAAGTCTCCTGCTTTTCAAGGATTCATGTAATTTCACTCTAAAGTTTCAATCGATTTCTGCCTATATTGACCCTTTATTATGGCATCAATCCTGTTATTCCATCATATAAAAATTTACAACTAAAACTATTACTTTTACAAAGCCGTAATACTTTCTCACATTTTACTTTTAAAACAGCACAATATTTATATGTTGGGAGAATAGAAACCGATATCAAATTTTAAAACACATTTGATTATTGTATGTCACATTATTATTAATTATAAAATAAAATTTCGAGTATAATGGTATAAACGCATGAAACATGTTATTAGATACTTCAAATTCAAGACCCTTTGTTTCCGGCATAATGTACTACTTTGCCCGGGAACTTCGCGGGATTTACATGTCCATTCTGCACAAAAAAGGTTCATATGCATTATGAAAAAAAGAGACAAGGCTAGAGGGACACCAACTTTAATACAATGCTTTTTAATAACAACTCATATGGCATGTGATATCTATTCAATAAACTGTAACACCCTTTCTTTAAAGAATTATATAACAGATTTGGAAGTGTATAGTTATATTATATGAGAAATAGATATATATATATATATATATATATATATGAGAAATACCTCCAACAGAAAATTCACAATTCCGATCTTGCAACTCCTTAAGTGGGGATGGGGATGGTTTTGGGTGATGGGAATGAGGACAATAAATCATTCCTTACACAATTACCATCCTTATATGAAATGATTTCAAAACATCATTTTTTAAAACTCGTATTATATTAAGAAAATATATCGACTTATTAATTGAGAATGATGATGATCTAAAATTGTACCCTCTCTATAAGTTTTTTATGACCTGCAGCCACAAAATTTCCCCACCTCTATATCTCTCATTAATGTAATCTTTTCAAATTTTATAATAGAGTAAAAGAAAAAAGACATTCCCAAACCATATTTTCTATCAGATTTTGCATATTATCATCCAAACTATATCTTATAGATTCGATTTTTTTTTCATGCAACAAAATTCTTCTTCTCATATAATACCGTGTTATAAACTTTTTATGTCCCAAAAACAGACACTATTTGTAATGTACCCAACGCCAAAGTAGGAAAAATAAATTACAACCTACTTAAAAGGAGAAAGAGGTAAAAGGAAAAGGGAAAATTAATAAAGAGAAACAATAAGACAAGGGAGGGTTTTTCCTCATTGCTAAAACTTTGCTGGGCACAAATGTTTTTTTTTTTTTTTAATATAAAAGTTATGTTTTGTGCATTTAAATCACATCAAAATCATTATCAAATTACAAAAAAGTATCGTTAATAAAATAAAAATCTGATGTTTTAAATACTTTTAATATCAAAAGTATGGTAGTATAGGTAATTTTCTATGTTTATAAGTAAATCTTATTTATTCTACAATATATATTTTTTCTTTTTAACTTGAAACTAGTTCAAGCGGGGTTGAGTGCATGCGTCTTCACTAAAATTAAAAATTATGGTGTTTTCATTTCTCAAGTAAAAAAAGAGACATCAATCTCACCCCATATATTAAAAAAGGTTATTTTTTTATTTGATAATTTTTCCTCGAAAAAAATAAAAATAAATTAGAGTGTGGTGACTGGTGAGAGCAGGGAGGAGAGAGAGAGAGAGAGAGAGAGAGAGAGAGAGCAGAGAGAGAGTGAGAGAGAGACCCATTCCCCATCCCCCACACAAAAGGTGGTGGGAAAAAAGCTCTTTTTGTACACACTGCGATGATGGCGATGATGATGCCTGCAATCTCCAACAGAACCAGCAACACCAACATCAACATCTCCAACGCCAAAAATTCCCTAAAATTCTCTTCTCTTTCTCTCCTTTTCTCAACTCTCCCTCTCTTTTCTCTTCTTCTTTATCTTCCTCATCACTCTCACTCTCATAGCTATGGTTAATCTTAATCATCTCGACAACTTCTCTTCTTTTTCCTTTCCATTGCGTTTGTTATGAAAAACCTTGGACCTTCTTAGAGAGAGTAAGAGAGAGAAACGGAGAGTTATGGGGACCAACTGCGGTTGCTGGGCTGTCCTTAAACGCGGCGTTTCAGGCGCCTGCAAGTCCTCTTCTTCCAAAGACTCTCCCAACACTATTCCTCGTACTAGTCTTGTTTATGACGCAGGTATATATCTAATATATAAAAACATATGTGTATATATCTCTGTGTTCTGTTTTGTTCTGTGTAATACTGTGTGTTGCTTTTTAATTTGAAGTTATATGAATCTTGAAAGCTGATCTGAATTAACTGCTGCTTCTGATAGAAAATTCTCTCTCTCTCTCTCTCTCTCTCTAAAATTCTCAGAAAATTTGATCAATCTTGACTGTGTGGAGTCTTAAACTATAAGTTCATATGCTGGCTCAATGGGTCTCTGTAATTAGAAAGACAGATCTTAAACTGGGTGTTTCGAAAGACAGATCTTAAAATGCAATTTTGACAGATGAAAATTTGTTTTAAAGTCAAAATTTTTCTTGTCTTCTGTTCGCTGATGTCATAAAAAGCTCAAGCTGCCGTTTCAGTTTCTGCCAAATAGAGGGCAATTCTATTGACATCTCATTGAATTCTTCATCGGTTTCTGCAAAAGTTTGTGTTTTGATGTCTTAAGCTATCTGAATCTTCTAAATTTTCGTAAAAGGAAGACTTTTAGATTAGAGAAATCTGAATCAAACTCAAATTCATTTTTTTTTTCCATCGCAGCCACTGAGACACGTTATTTAAACGCAAGCAACAGAGAATTGTGTCCTCCTAATGAAGTTCATCTCTCTTCTGATCACAATCTGAACCAGCCTCCTTCATCAGATGACAACAAATCAGCTAATAACAATTGCCAGTTGCTCCAATTCTCCTTCCAAGAGCTAAAATCGGCGACGGGGAACTTCCGACCGGACAGCATTCTCGGGGAAGGCGGGTTCGGATACGTCTTCAAAGGATGGATAGAGGAGAACGGGACGGCACCAGCGAAACCCGGGTCGGGAATTACGGTTGCTGTTAAGAGCTTGAAGCCAGATGGTCTACAAGGTCACAGAGAATGGGTGGTTAGTAAGAATTAGAGTAACTGCCTTGGAAGTTGGATTAGTAGGATTAAAAAAAAAAACAAATAGAAGAAATTGGTGTTGAAAGGGACTGAATAATATCCATGATATATGTAAGTTTGACGTGTGAGTTTGTTACAATTTTTTGAATGCAGGCTGAAGTTGACTTTCTTGGACAGCTTCACCATCCTAATTTGGTCAAGCTTATTGGTTATTGCATTGAAGATGATCAACGCTTGCTTGTTTATGAATTTATGACTCGTGGGAGTCTTGAAAATCATCTTTTTAGAAGTGAGTGTTAACTAATTTCTTGACTTTTGTTGAAAATGTCCTTTGTCATATAGGTGTTAGTTCTCTTTTAACTTTGTATTCCTTTTAGATTTCTCCACAAAAATGATCTAAGGAGTGCTTTAGAGGTTTGGTAGGAAGGAAAAGTCGAAGATGGGAGAGGGGTGAGGAGATTAGTGGGAGGGTCTGGACCCATTGTTGTTTCTTCGGAGAGTAAAAAGGAGGGAATAGATTAAGTGACGGATTTGAGATCCTTCAAAAAACCCCGATTTTAATCTCTTCCAATGTTGAGGGATCAGAGTAAGAAATCCATACCAAACACAATAAGAGAAATGTCCTCTCCTTCCTTTCTATTTTCCTCACCTAGGTCATATATCTTTCTTTCCCTCCTATTTCCTTTACCTTTTACCAAACGCAGCCTTAATTACAAAGCCTTAATTACTTTTTGTTAATATAAAGTAATGTGGTAACTGAAATTTTAGAAGATGAACTATCCTACTGCCCTTAAATGTTGTGAACTTGTAGTATGTATAGCAAGCCTCTTAAAAGCTTTATCCTTTATGCTTTATTTTCCTTTTTCTTCTCCCTCTTGATATGGTCTCCTGTTCTCCTACTAGTACTTGTAGATGGAGACATCATAGTGCTTGTGAATATTGTTTTCCACTTGATCGTTTGTTGTAATAAACAAAATGGTTGATGTTTTGTTCAAAAATCTTTGAAGGGAATATACCACTTCCATGGTCCAACAGGATTAAAATTGCACTTGGAGCGGCAAAAGGATTGGCCTTCCTCCACAATGGCCCAGAACCAGTCATTTACAGAGATTTCAAGACATCCAACATCTTGCTGGATTCAGTAAGCTATCAAAATAGAGCTCAAAAATTGAAATTGTCATTTTCTCCACACCCCCTTTTTTTGGTGGTTAAACTTAAAAGTGAATGAAAACATCAAACGCACTTGGCTTTTCTTTTATAGGAATACAATGCAAAGCTTTCAGATTTTGGTTTGGCAAAAGCCGGGCCTCAAGGAGACAAGACACATGTCTCTACCAGAGTGGTTGGGACATACGGCTATGCTGCTCCAGAATATGTAATGACAGGTAAGAAAAAAGTCATACAAGTTGGTTTGTGACTATAACATGGAGCAGTCTTCACAACTTTGACCAAATTAGTTGGATGTCAGGGCTGTTACCCTTTTGGAAGAGCTAAATTTGAATTCAATTTTGGTTCATCAATGATTCTACCCACCTCATAATAGTTGTAATGCGCATTACTAGAGCTTTTGGGCAAGAAATATAAATGGGATTTTGGTCACCATCAGAATTCATCAACTTATACAGGAGTTTGCAGCTACTATGAGGACTAGTAATCTTTGAGTAGTTTCTAGTATTTGTTCAACTTTGAGCAATGTGAAAATAGGTAGCTATTTGAAGAGAAAATTGGAAATTTAGCAAACTATTGCTCAGATTTATGGCTTGAAAACAACATTTTAGTTGGTTGATCTTACAGATCTAGAATCCAAAATTTTGTGCAGTTCCTTTGAGATATATATATATATTTTTTAAATAGGAAAGTTCAAACCCAATAAGTTGTTCCTCTTTTTTCCTTGTTCTCAGGACACTTGACATCCAAAAGTGATGTTTATAGCTTTGGAGTGGTTCTACTAGAGATCTTAACAGGAAGAAGATCGATGGACAAGAAGCGGCCTAGTGGAGAACAGAACTTGGTGGCATGGGCTCGGCCATACTTGGCTGAAAAGAGAAAGCTTTACCAACTAGTGGATCCTAGATTGGAACTGAATTACTCCCTTAAAGGGGTGCAAAAAGTCTCTCAATTGGCTTACAACTGCCTCAGTAGGGACCCGAAATCGCGTCCCACCATGGACGAAGTTGTGAAGGTTCTCACTCCATTGCAAGACCTCAATGACCTTGCAATCTTAACGTACCATTCTCGCTTGTCCCAACAAGGCAGACGCAAGAAGAAATCGGATGGAGCTCAACAGATCACGTACACACAATCCAAAAGCATGAGAGATTCTCCATTAAATACTGGGAAGCAGCGAAATAGATGATGAGAAAGGGCAGTGAAAAAGAAACACACATTAACGCTGGGAATTGTGGATGACACCTTTTGTTGACTCGGTTGTGTGAAGATATTATTTCAAGCTTATATAATTTATGGGGTGTTTTGAAATTTGCCTGAGCTGGGGGACAAATGGAGAAAAAAAAAAAGGAAGATTCATTTTCCTTTTGTTTTTCTTTAGACCATTTTACATTTAGAGATCTAACCATCAATTGGAACCTTGCTCACGATTTGCTTGTGTTGTAATTGAGCTATATCTCTTGTAATTAGATAAAACCTCTCTCATTTTTATATTTGCATCTACCTTAATGTTATAGCTGTTTCTGAGTTTTGGGAATTGGTATTTTTCTTCTTTTTGTTAGTTAATAAACTACCTCCTTGAGTTCTTAAGTTCTCTGTCTCTAGTGAGATAACGAATGAGACACCAAAATAAGACAAAAGATCTAGATTATCAGTTGATTGACCACTGTCATTTTAATAGTATGAATGCGACAAATTTTCACGGCAGAACCTTGTTCTATGATGGGCCATGAAACCCTTTGGCATCTACTGAAGTCACCAGAAAATAAAAATAAAAAAAATCCTCTACATCAGCAAGTTTTTGTTCCATCAAAATCAGGTAAATTATCTTCCCACAATGACATAGAAAGCAAACAAGGGATGACTCCTGCTTGAGCATAAGTATCAATGACATGCATTTTGCAATTGGCTGTCTTAGATATATCACATATGTAAACTTTGAATCTTATCTAGCTTTAAATTATTCCATAACCCATTTCTCCAAAACGATATAGTGTAAAGGCTTCTCATTTGCATTAATTTGAGTGATTATAATATGCTTGTCATCAGCAACAAATGCTATTTTCTCTTTACCTAATTCATCCAAAGACTGCTTTGGCTTTTTATTCATTAAAAAAAAACAAAAAAGAAAAAGAAAAAACAAAAGCAGAAAAAAGTGGCAGTGTTGTTGTGAAATGAAACTTTGATGTGTCACAAACTGGATACTACTAATTTGAAGAGACATCTCTTTAAATAGGAATAAGGGTTAATTCTACGGTCCTCAAGGTTTACACTCAATTTCACTTTAATCATTGACTTTTCAAACGTCGCACGGATGATCTAGAGGTTTTACTTTGTTTCATTTTCGGTCTTTTTATCAACTAAGCGTTAAAATTTGATAGAATCTGTGTAAATTAGAGTCTAACATTAAAAACAACTCAAATTTTTGGTGTATCTATAGAAATTTAACTTTTGAGTTTTTGTATTGTTTTAGTCTCTAAACTTTATATGCTTTTAATTTTAGTTCATAATTTCTATAGATTCTGTCAAATATTTAACACCAAACTAATAAAAGGACCGAAATTGAAACTGAATAAAACTTCAGAGACCAACTGTGCGATATTTAAGACGTCAAAGATTAAAGTGTGATTGAGGCTAAACCTCAGGGACCATTTGTGAGATTAACCCTAAGAATAATAATCAAAACACACTTTTTATTTCCCATGTATTTTGCCTAAATACTACTTTTGTCCTTTTTATTATGTAAATGTTCAAAATACCCCTTAAGTTTATAAAAAGCAAACTCAAAATATCCCCTGAAGCACTTAAATTTGTTAAAATATTAAGCTTACCGTTCCCAACCTTATTAACTACAATTTAAAAAATTATTAAACTAAAATATTAAATAAAATCAATATGAGAAACTCTCAAAATAAATAAAGAATTTGTTTGATTGGAATATTTATTTGAATAATTTTAAATAATTTTTATTAAACATTTTAGTTAAATTATGCATAAGATAACATTTAATATAGATTGGAATGAGTAATCTTGGTATTTTTTTTTAAATTGGTAATCTTGGTATTTTTAAAAAAATTAATCGTTTCAAGAGGAAATTTGATTTTGATTTATAAAATATGAGTGATTTAGACATTTGTATAATAAGAGAGATAAAAGCGGGATTAGTTATTAAGGCAAAGCAGTGAGGTGATCTGTGTATTTTTTTTCCCCTTGAATGTGAGTAAGGAACATTCAAAATGGCACTTTTGAGGCTAGCTAAGCTATATGTAGGTAGATATCATATGGTCTTCCTTGATATTGTGTATGTAAAGAGTTGCAAAAAAAAAAAATAATAATAATAATAAAAAGTAATAAAAAATAATAATAATAATAAAAAGTAATAAAAATAATAATAATAATAATAATGCAAAGCAAATTATCTTTCTTTCGTAGATGTAGCTTTTTCTTGGCTTCTTTGGATTAATTTTGAAGTAGCCCCATGTGTTGGCAATCAATACTTTCTATCTCTCTACGCTAGTTTAGGGCCGCAACTTTAGTACCAATATTCTCCGGTCAGCTTTAGCACGTTTGATACAACCTGCGTGATTGAAAGTTCTTTTCCTTTTTTTCCCTTTTTTTTTTTTTTTTTCTTTTAGGTGTAAAAGGAAACCATGGTAGAAAAGTAAAAACAACCAACCAATGATATCAGACTCATGATAGTCCAAAATGGTCTCAATTTCAGAATGAACGGGGTGTTAGAAATGTAACAACGGGCCGGGTCGAACTTCTTAGGTCTACGCGGGTTGTGGGCTGACCCGACCCGTAAAAAAATTACCTCGGTCCAGCCCACATCACAGACTAATTTTATGTAGGCTAAGTTGGGCCGTGCCATGGGCTAAGATGGACCGTGCCATCGGCTGGTTCATCAAGGCCCATCTTGGCCCATCATGGGTTTAGATAGGCCGTATAATTTTCAATTTTTTTTATTTTTAAATTTTTAAACAAATTAACAAATATAAAAGTTTGAATAGTCAATAGAAATATGAAAATGGATATGTTATTTACGATTGCCTCATTAAAAAAACATTTTTAAGGAAAACTTAGTGAGACAAAACCTTAGTAAGGAAAAAAGAGTACAATCGGGATAATTATACATAAGATGTTTACAAAATTGTTAAAAATAGAAAAAAAAACATGAAGATATTATGGGCCTAGATGGGCCGAGCTAGGCCGGCTAATTATAGGCCTAGACGGGCCGGGCTAGGCCGGCCCACCCTGGCCTAGCCCATGATTTTTCATGGGCCGTGTCGGGCCGGCCCATAGACCGATATATGTTGGCCTAGTCCAGCCCACCAATATTTATGGGCTGAGCCGTGCCTTGAACAGTGACAGGCCGTGCTGGCCCGGCCCGTCACTGTGTCAAGATGGACCTGGGCCGGCCCACGGGCCCCGGCCCATTGTTGCATCTCTACGGGGTGTTCTTTTGATAGGTTAAATTGAGATTTTGAATTCAAATTAAATTTTTATGAGAGAAAACACTACAGTAAAAAAGTTGAATTGTGATTCAAAGTTATGAAAATAATGAGGCTGAAATATGTTAAGAATTTAAGCGACATGTAAAGTTATTTACCGATTCTTCCGAGCTTAAGCTTTTTAGGAAGAAGACCATCAATAGTTTTATTGTTGAAAATTTGAGTATAGAGGAAGAAAAGAAAGCAAATAAAATTGGGTTTGAGGCGTATTGCAGAATACTTTCCTTTAAGGTTTTTATTTGCAATAACTTCTCAAAGTTTACTAATGAATTTCTATTGCAAATTACTCCTAAGATACAACAAATCCTTAAACACAATTTCTAGCAATAATATTGTGCTTCGGAACATGAATAAAGTATGTAAATTTTCTAGAGAATTAATAAAGACAGATGTGTCGTTTCATGAATGAACACATCTTCTTCAAACATCACAATCATTCACGTAAAGGTACCTTTTCAATGTAAAGGTATCTTTTCATGGATTAATAAATCTATTACAATAGTTATATTTATTGCTAATAGGTGTGAAGATATGTGTGAAAACATATCACAAAGGGATACAATGGTTCGAAACTTTTCAGATCATAAATCACACATTTTCACATTTTCTGTAGTTTCGAGCGCTGCATCGGATGAAAAACCTATTGCAGTGGGTTTACCAGATAAATCAGACATCAACAACAGCAAGAGAGGCACTGCAGCGAACCGTGGCAGCACAGACAACACCATTTGGTGTTGTCTCATCCGCTGCAGTGTAAAAAACACGCGTTGTAGTGGGTTTTGTTGTCCAAACTGTCCCCACGCGTGTTTTAACAGTCCAAAACATGTGTGATCTAAATTAAGAGAGATATTGTCACACCCCCAAATAGGGGTTAGTGACGTGGGGGCTTATTTAGAAATAAAGTATGGATTAAGAAAGTAATTAAGCAAAAGTCAAAGTCAAAGATAGCATAATAGAAGAATTTCAAAACAAACACCACTATTTTAAATAAATTGAGTTTAAGGAAAGATTGAGGCGGACTTTATAAAATTTCAATCACTGTCAAATCAATTTCAAAAGTCAGCCTTCGGAATCAACAGGGTTTACACTTATGCATACATAAATAAATACATAAATGTAAATGATTGACATCAACCACAGTCTAATAAAATTTAAAATTTACAATCCATAGAATTTATACATGACTTAAATGAATACGATAATGAAGGAAACACTTGAAACAAAGAAAAGTGAGTGAAAGGCCCAGTAGGATATAATTTCATAAAACTGAATAAATAAATGAAAGCAAAGGTCCGAACGAATCAGTCGGAACCAAACAAACTTTTTCTGAAAGGAAAATAAACTAAAATTCAAGACTACAGGCAACCATCAAGTAATTTAAGTAATTAAATTACTTATGACTAATGTAAGGTCAAACACCACTGAAGTGGCCCGTCCAGGTTTCGGGTCCTATCCCTAAGGATACGATCTCCATATCCTGTCTAGGCCATCAGCGGGTTTACCAGTTCACAAAATTTCTTATCTTAAGAAAATATTCATTAAACCTTTAAATCAATTCATTATGAGATCAATAGCAATAATCAAGCTATTGTCTTAAAACACTTTTCTTTATCAAACATGTCTTATCTTTATTACATTTACATAGGCCAAAACACTTTAAAACAGGCTAACAAAAATATGGGCAAGAATATCCTACTTCTCGGATATCAACTCTACGGATAACTTCACGTAGTCCCAGCTCCACTGGTCTTTGAAGCTCCAAGTCCAATCGTGCCGATAGCTTTGTCATCAAAACCAACAGTTTAGAGTTTAATCTTTTCCTCTAAACAATCTAGTTTAATTATATACAATTGTATCGTACTAGTGTGCCTTGACTCAAATTCAAAGTTTATAAACAATTCTTAATTCAAATCATGATCCTTTGAGAATTAGACTTCAATCAATAGAAATGGAATAGAGACAAGGATTAATGTAGCTAATCC